AATGCAATTGCTATTTGGAATAAACTACCCATGAGTGTGAAAACTCTGCAAAATTTTCCTTTATTTAAGAGAACTATTACTCGATATTTGCATTGAGAAAAGCTCCCACAAATTTTGGGTGCTGAATCCACTGATCGACTGTGCCGTAGCGATGGCGTTTGTGGTCTCTGAACACTATGGCCGGTCTCACCAGCTGTTCGTCAACGCCGCTACTTTGACTATCCCTAACTTCATGAAAGGAATTGACGTCCGATAATCTCCGATACAATGCAACCCCCCCCCCTTCTTGACGGTCGAAAGTTTACCACCAGCAGTTTTTTCTCCTGAACCCTCCAAGCCATGAAAACCACCATCGACTATATTTTTATTCCTTTACCTCAGGAGTTTTTTTCACTGCTGGTCGGATTTGTGTTTAATCGCTTCCCTTGACAATGCCTGTAACCTGGCATTTAATAAATTATTATTATTATGTTGCAGATCTCATAATCATCGGTAGAAGTAACAAATGTCTAATTTGTTTCTCCTACAAGAATCAGCATCGGACGCCAGTGACTCCAGTGTTACTATTTCTGGAGGTATTTCGATCCTATGCACGGATACGCACCTACCTAAACGAAATGTCCTTTCTTTCGAGCAGCAATCTCTGACATACACGTCGACGTCGCCAGTGTGCCTCGCGGCGTAAGGGTGCTTCGCTTGCAGATAATACGTCAGGTGCAGCGAGGCGTTATAAATGCCTCTGCCAAACATCCGTATTATATTAACGGGACGGCGTTAGAAACTGCAGAAAGACACAGAGATCTGTGTGTATGGACGACCACAAATCTAATGTCGTCAGAACACTGTAGGAAGATGGTCTAGATGGCAATTAGTACTTTACACTGGTTCAGACGTACATTTAAAATATTCCCTCTGAATTCTTCGAAAGAATTTTGGCCTCTTTATAAGACCCCACCCGGAATATAGAATGTCAGCAGCTTCACCACGGATGAGGGAAGATATTGACTTACTCGAACAGGTGCAACTCGGAGGAACGAAGATGATCGAGGGTCTAAAGAATTCGTCTTACCAGGAGAGGCCGGATGTGTTTGGTTTATTCCCTCTCTTTTATAAGCAGCTAAACTACAGTCTGCTATGGGCATTCCGAATTATCCGTGGCCGTGGTCGCTCATTAAGGACGGAGGACTTTTCGAAGCTTGTCATACAAATCAATTACGCGGTCATCCTTACAAAGTAAAGAGTGAACTCAGGCGAATAGACCATAGGAAGTTTTCATTCAGTCAACGGATTGTCCAGCCATGGAACTCGCTAACAAGAGAGATCACGCCTCTTTACTTGACATGCAATACGTCAGATTTCCCATTAAGTTACCCTCGGAGGAAACACCAGCGCATTCACTGATTGCGTATTTGCTGGACTCTTCCACGCTGAGATTATCCATTACCTCACCCTTTGCTGCGGACAACACTGAAACAGGCCATTTTTCGAGTCGCCTATATACGAAGTAGTTCTCGATAAGCCGTGTAGCATTGGCTCATATCCTATATGTTGTGCCCACATCTTCGGAAAATGGAATGCCGATCAGCGGTCTAACCACGAAAAGCTCGAAAAGACCTTCAAAAACTCACTTACGAAGGCCTTTAAGCAACTACACAAACGTAGGTAGATGATATTAAATTAGTGTCAGTGGACGGTCGGTCAATATCACCAATTCATAAAAGCTACTTCATTTATGTATCATTATTCATCCCATACTTACTATCTTCATGTCGACTTTTGTACAGTTGCCTCTCCTCTCAGGACTACCTACATCCAGGTCCTTCTACCCAGCAAGAAAACGGCGTCCTGACACTTGCGAATATAGCACCATAACGCTTTTGCACACATTAACATTTTTTGGTAGTTGTCACTCTAGAAATTGACGTCTTTCCAATAACACCTAAGACCACACCGTATCTTCACAAACACACTATTCCTGACTGACATCTTAGACAATGGAGAGATTAAGGCGCGACGGCTTTAGGAAGGATGGAAGCCTATACTCGGTTGAAAAGTGGGATACTGATTTTCAGCTGTGGATTGAAGCCGAAACGAGGGGGAGCCCCGTCTGCGATTAAAAATCAAAAAGTCTGCAATGAATCTGTGGCTAAAGGTGGGACAAACCCAGCACAGGTTCTTGTCAGAGTATTCTAAACGTCTGACTACATTCGGCGGGTGGTCCTGAAAATCTTTTCTCTGTATTTTTTTTTCTCATCAGTGTCTTATAGTGTTTCGCGAAAATGGGTTAATTCTTGGTAACTTATTACATTTGGCCGGATATTTCCTTGTTTTTTTGTGTTTCTTTCACCTCCAGATGTGCTGAAGGTTGTTGTTCATAATGTTTGTCTTCATGATTTCTGAAAACACGGTATTATTATTTCTACGTACTTTAACTTTGGTCTTCTTAATTCTTTTTTGAATGTCTCAGAGTTTTTAAAGAAATGTCCTGCAGCACATAGTTGTTGGTGAGTTTCCAAATCTTCCTTTACCTTTTAGGACTTGGATCCTTTTCTGACCTTGGAACTGAGCGTAGGCCAAGTATATTGGCGTCGGACATTTTAGTAGTTACAGCCTTGACAGTCAGTTCGGGGATCGGTCTCACTATGCATGCCCTGCGTAGAGCCGTCTGTGCTGTAGGCCACGCCACCAAAACAGCAAGATGTTTTTCAACCTCCGGCCGGGTACTTTTTCTGTTGTTGCATTTATGTTTTAGGCCCCAAATAAGGTCGCTCTTCTCGGTGCCAGTGGTGGAATTGGACAGCCTACCGCGCTGCTTTTAAAACAAAATCCACTGGTGAAAGAACTAGCTTTATATGATATCGCCCACTGTCCGGGTGTTGCTGCTGACTTGAGTCACATTGAGACTCCATGTGTAGTCACTGCCCACAAGGATCCTTCAGAGCTGCCCAACGCACTTAGCGGTGCAAACGTTGTCGTCATTCCGGCTGGTGTTCCTAGAAAACCAGGTACAACTCTCCCTGTTTTTAAAGGTTTTTGAAAAAGGTTATCTGTGTGGCTTTTAGTGTCAGCTTTGGACTCTGCTCATTAAGGTTATTCATCAGTGCTTGTGTGGTGCCCGAGAATGTTGACGAAGGCACAAGCCGATTAATTTAGCATACCTTGGATAGATTCGGACGGGGAAATAACTGAACACAATCGGTAGATAAATCATCACGAAAGTGCAGATGGAGGGTGTAGAGTGTATGCAAAGTGTGTGCAAAGGTTATACTAACGATATAAGTTTAGGGTATATTTCGACAGTAGAAGACTTACTTACATGTACTTGACACGACTGCGATCACTCCTGATATTGCTAGCCTCGATGATGTCACGAATTGTATCTCTCCACGCGTGACGATCCGCGGCAGCAGGTCTGCACGGCTCAACCTATTCCCTTCGCGAACGACGGAGACTGAATACCGAAGGTCCAAGAACCACCTGCATGTCTTGACGAACTGTGTCGAGCCAGGTTTTGAACTGATCTCCTCTTCGGCGCCTCCAGTGGGATAACGGTGCCGTATCGAGGACAGTAACACTGAGCTCCTGAGGTGAACGTCGAAGAACATTCCCGAACCGACTCAATCGTCTTTTTTGATGGCCTGGGTTGTCCTTGCGATTTTGTCGCAGCGAGCGCGGACTGTCTCATTTGAGACGAAGTCGGTATACTTTACTCGAAGGATTGTCCTCAAGTGGTGGTGGTTAAATACCTCTAGTTTCCGCTCCTCCACGCGCAAAGCCCAGTATTCACAACCGTAGAGAAGGACAGACCGGACAGATGCACGGTACACGCGAATCTTAGTGGCGATGGAGAGGTCACGTCGGATTCATAGGCATTTGCGAAGGCTTGAGAAAACCCAGCGGGCAACATCGATTCGGGAAACAATGTCGTCCTTACTCTGTCCATTAGGCAGCAGCCTCGCCCCGAGGTATTTAAAACGGTCTACTTTAAGTAGACAGCCATCAATCCCGAGAGGTGTCTTCTCCTGGTCAGGGATGCAGCTTGAAAACACTTTGGTCTTCCCAGTGTTTATGGATAAATCGACCGATTTCGCAGTCCCGCTCACCCGTGACACCATAGACTGCAGATCACCAAAACTTGAAGCAAGTAAGGCGATATCATCGGCATAGTCGAGATCAGTCAGTCGGTGTCCGAGTGCAAACCCGATGCCGTTACCCTCGTGTAGGACCCTCCCGAGAATCCAATCAATAGCATAGTTGAGCAGAATGGACGACAAGATACAACCCTGTCGAACGTCAGACCGAGTACCAAACGGTTGGGGAAGATTATTGCGGACTAGGAATCGCAGTAGTGGAGCGATAATAGGCCTTGATCATGGCAATTATTTTTACTGGTTTACTATCTAGCGCCATTATCTGCCACAGGGACTCATGTTAGACGGAATCGAACGCGGCGGCAAAGTCAACAAAGCAGACGGCTGTCGGTGGTTGATAGCTATGGCGAAATTCGAGAATGCGCCGCAGTGTGAATATCTGGTCTGCGCATCCACATCCAGCACTAAATCCAGCTTGCTTGGGCCTCGTCCTTGAGTTACGCACAGCCTGGAATCGCCTGAGTAGGACAATAGCGAAGATCTTCGCAGCAACGTCGATGAGGCTTATGGTGCGGTAGTTCTCGCATCTTGTCTTATCTCCCTTCTTGAGGATGGGTATAAGGATGCCTAAGCCCCAGTCATCAGGAATAACCTCGTCTCTGCACGCTCGTTCAAGCACCTCATGGAGCCAGGACGCCAGAGAGTCGACACAAGACTTGAAGATTTCAGCGGGTGTACCGTTTCCCCCGGGTGCCTTATTATTGCGTAACTCTCGTATGGCACCGACGACTTCTCCTTCAGAAGGGGGGGGTTGCATGGTACTGCATGGATGGGAGAGGGAAGAAACTCCGCTGAAGAGGAGAGCAAGGGCGAAGTGGGTTGAGTATCAAAGTTGAGATGGTGCTCAAAGTGTCCACGTCAGTGTTGGACTTCGGCCAGGTTGTCAGCAATAAAGCCGCCTTTCACGTCGCGAACAGTCACTCAGTGTAGAAGGATTATCGCTAACTTGGCGGATAAGTTGGTAGAGTTTTCGAGTGTCACCAACGTTTGAGGACTGTTACATGAAGGTCGCTATTTCAGCCCAATATTGCTTCCGGTCATCCCTGGCCTATTTTGCCGTCATCTTCCGAAGTTGGTGGAAGCAGTCATCGTTACGGGACCTGGCTCGATCCGTCTGAGTAGACAACTGCAGGGTTCTTCCGCTGATCCAGTCACTGCGGCGTCGCTGGGTGTATCCAAGGATCTTCTCAGCTGCCTCATATACTGACGTTTTCAGTGACGACCACTTGTTACTGCCTTCTCCGTCAGCTCGGGTCGTAAAACAGGACGGGATTTCACTGCGCAGGGCCTCGGCAGTGCTGGTTTTCCGGATTTCTGCGACATCGAGGCGTCTAGGACGTGGCATTTTTGGCGCGGATGAGATATGAACTTTCAAGCGTGTACGGACAAGAACATGGTCCGACCCATAGACGTTATCAGTGTCGGCACCACACATCGGTCTGATATCGTGAACCCAGCTGTGGAACCTTGAGCTGACTAGTATGTAATCAGTCTGACTGGCCGTATGACCGTCGTTTGAATACCAGGTCAGTAGATGTTTTTTGCGATGCTGGAAACATGTGTTGGTGCCAAGTAGTCGGTTTCGATCAGCGAAGTTCAGCCATCTTTCACCGTTTTCACATCAGGAATCAAGCCCAAAGCGGCGAAGAAGGTAACTGGCTGTGGGGTCGCCAGGTCCGGTTCGACCATTCCAATCGCCAGCAACAATCAGAAGATCGCGGCGGGCAGTCTTTCAACTAACGCTTGCAACTGCGAGTAAAACGCCTCTTTATTGAGCCGTTCGGTAGCTGAAGTTGTTGCGTACACAGAGACGATTGAGATGTTTGTGAAGTGACCCTTCAGTCGCACGTAGGCCATCCGGTCATTGACTGGTTTCCAAGCAAGTAGCGCGAGGTCCGCTTGTTGCGATAGGGCGATCGCCACATCGTGTCGACTAGAAGAGTCGCGCGGGCCGCTGTGGTACAGGGTGATTCGACTCCAGAAATCTTTATTTCGCGGAAGCCTGAGTCAGGGAGTCGAACTTCAGACAGACGGCAGACATCCACGTTGTACTGATTAAGGCTGCGTGCTGTCAGACTTTGGGTACCGGGGTCCAGGACCGTTCACTCATTCCAGCATCCAGTGCTGAGAGTCCGTCCTCGATTGAGTAGTCCAGCTCGCATACTATTCGCCTGCACCACTGGACTAGGGTTGCGGAGCGCGTCGGTTCCCGCGGACGCCGTAGCATGGGTCGTAATACTGTGATCGGACATAGTTCATGAGTTTTCTTGGGAAGTCCGGATACGGGCGGGTCCCCAACAGCCGATCGGATTGCGTGTTCAAGGTTGTCCCCTCTAGCGCTTTGGCTTAAAAGCCTAACCACAAGGCAGCGGTGGCAAGCAAACTTGTTTAATGGCGGTTTGCGGTCGCCATGTCACAATGTTGTCATTGAGCTTTGCGGCTTTTCGTAAGGCTTTCAGCGTGCCAGACCGCAGCCCACCGCACCCTGGTAGCAATGTCGCTGCTGCTCCGCGACTGCTTATTCGTCAGACATAAATCCGCTTATTTCTCAGCTAGCCTTCACTGAAGGTCGTCCCACTATCCGCCACCTGTGGACGTGCTGGGTAGCCAGCAGCTAGGCTAACGGGCAACCCGTCTTCACGCAGGAGAGTATAGTCTGCCGCAGCATGAAATGGCCCGTCTGAATGAAGAGGTGACACTGACATGTCAGTCGCAACCGATGGGGAGTGCAGCGCTGTCAACAACTGGTGAAGGGTCATGGAGGTGCTGATGAGAAAGAATCGAGTGTTTCCAAGAGCGCCTCGGGAAGGGTTGTCATAAATCGTGAGGGAAGAGTCAATCCCCATCTTTACCAGCACACGGTTACACCTTCCCCACATTGAACCCTACTTCAACCCATTCAAACGGTTCCATCGATTCCGTGGGGCGTTACACAAGCCCTTACGGTTGGTCTGTATCTAGCTGTCTGACTGGCTAGCTGTTGTTAGTAGTCTCTGCAGACACCTTCCGGCCAGGGACTTCTTCGCGCGATTTATGTCAAAGGGTGATCGGGTCATTAACCGCACACAAACCCGCAAACTTTAGCTGCTAATGCAGGGCCAGACAGAGGCTAGTGCCATGCTATCAGGGACTATTTGAAAATTTGGCTGATACTGTCTTTGACCAGTGAACTTAAACGCAGCCATATTCACGACGCAGTTCTTTTGGTCTCAAAGTGCCGTTTATAGTCCGAAAATTGCCACTTGGATATGATCATGAAAGCCTGTTGCTGGCGTCCGAATTGTCGTCCCCCTTAGCGTTATCTAGTTTTGTCACGTATGCTTGCCTTATGTTGATTTCGTTATGACCGCGGATCAGTCAAAGAACACCTGTGTAACCTTGCATTTCATATGTTGGTGACAGCCCTTTAAATTGTGCCCATCCAGCCTCAGTGTTTCGTTTCACTTCCCCAACCACGCCCTTCCTTGCAGGCATGACCCGTGATGACTTGTTCAAATTCAATGCCTCGGTGGTTGCCTCCCTGACTCTTGCCTGTGCAAAATATTGCCCAGAAGCAATGATCTGTGTAGTCACTAATCCTGTCAACAGCACTGTCCCAATTGCCGCCGAACTGATGAAGAAAATGGGCGTTTATAATCCGAGGAGACTGTTTGGTGTTACTACTCTAGATATCATCCGATCAAACACTTTCATTGCCCAAGCTAAGGTGCGTTGTATTGACTTCTTTAATCTATCTGGTGCGTTTTGTTTCAGTTTCATTACTCATTTTTCACGGAAATATAACAGTTGTTTAAAATTTTTGTGCTCGAGAGTTCGAATGTCCGCATTGCGTGGTTTTACTAGATTTGGTTGACGGTCTCCAACCGTCCTACAGAATCATTCAATATTATGCTTGTCGTAAAAAGTACCTTCAGCCAAGGGTTTGCCCTGGCCTGATCTTCTGATGTAAGCTGACCGCTTTTTCAGTCTACAGTCGTGTATCTGAGGGAGTTCCAATGTGTACATACGTTTAGGACCCATCTACCTTTTGTGACCAGAAGGCAATCGGATTTCAAAAAAATAGCCGGTAACTATCCTCTGAGACTTCCGTTGCCGGCCCTTGAAAGTGATGAGCACGCGGTGGTTTCAATCATGACTTTCTGTCCGGCAAAAAACAATGCTGTTTATAAACGTTCATGAAGGAAATTTGCCGTCATTCGTTCAAGTTCTTAGGTTGCAGAGGAGTTCGCATAGTAAATTCTGGACGATAGGTAGTTCCAGCAGTTCGCGTTCTCCCCTATTATGCGTTACACATTAAGTTATATTTTACTAAATTGTTTGACAGAGGCTGGGTTCTTTTATACTTTCAAGTTTGGTGATAGCCCAGTCCTATCTTCATAGTTGTTTAGATTATAGTACTAAAATCCTAGATACCCGTTCGCCTCCGTATTTAGTACGCAAAATTATTCTGGATACCTTTTATCAGGTCTAATTTAAGTACATGGTTCTATTCATGAATTCGCTACATATGCTATGCCAGACACTTGCAGCCCCCACGCCAGTTTGGGTTTGGTTTCTAGATAGAGAAGACATCCCTGCAAAACTTACATGATGCTTCTTGGCGGACTGTTGCGTCTTTTATGTAAAAGTCGTATTACTGTTCGCATCTGAGCACGCTTCCCCCACTTTATGCATCTTTTAACTGCCATTTCCAGGAAATATCAATGAAGTAGAACGTGTAATACGACGTGGATGTTATCGTCGGTCCTAGGATGTTTTCTTTGATCTCTTTTCAAAACATCGTTACTATAATCATCTTATGCACTTTCAGGGTTTGGATGTGCGTAAAGTCAATTGTCCTGTTATCTGCGGACACTCCGGCGTATCCATAATTCCTGTCATTTCGCAGTGCACACCTCAAGTCTCCTTCCCACCGGTGAGATATTGCATATATTTCTACGTCTTTAGGGAATACTTCTGGTTTTTGACGCATTTGTTGACGTCGGAAGTCTGTATAGTTCTGATGAATCTATTTCACTGTCTTTGAGATATAGTTTGACTTCATCCACCAAATTATAGACTTCGGAATTGGCACTTCTGTCGCCCAACACAATTGTCATCTGTACTGTACATCTTTGATATCAACAAAGCCTTTGGCCGGGAGAGATTTGTTTAGGGTCTGGCGTTCTGAATATTGATTTCGCTTGCTTATCTTCAGAGACTGGAGAGCCTTATGCACAACTCTCGTAATGTGCGCGTTCTGCCGGATGCGGAGGTCACCTACACCGGCTGTGGAACTGGATCGGATTCCCGTTTCACTGTGACTTGTGTCACCGCTGCCGCCACCCTCGTCGATCGTGACGATAATCGACTGTCCGGTTGTTTCACGCCTCCACTGCCTCTTGTGAAGAAGGTTGATAAAACTAGATAGGGTGGGACAAATTTACATGGCGGTTGGCTGGGCAGTCGGTGGACATCCAGGCTTCCTTCACCTGCCTTGACTGATCATCGCCTCGATTCACAGTCCCAACGGCGCCAGTTGAAGATGTCTCTTCTGCATAGTAGACCTTCGAACAGCTGTTTGATACCCGTGTGTTCGCGTTGCAGCAGTTAACCGGTTTTGGCTGACTTCTAGCCAGGGATGTGGTATTTTGGCCGCGTCACTCGGTTTTGTCATGACCGCCCCTATGCTATACAGGACTTGCTCTGCTGAATGCACCGTCGTTTGTATACCTGCTCTTGATTAACTGAGCGACGTCTGCTAAGCCGTGTCCTTGAAGAGCGCCTTTTTGGGATATTTTGCTGGGAAATCACCACCTGGAAAGTCTGAGACCAAATCGAGGGCACTTTTCCCTCTTGGGCACGGACAGTTCTTCCTGTCGCGGGCAAAAATTTCTTTTATCTTTATATGGGACCATTTTCTCTACCTTTTGCCACTTATGCTCAATTCACCACAAAATGATCAATAAAATACTAAAATATTTCACAAACAACTAACTCCGCGCCGTTTCGTTTCCAAATTACGTTTTAGCAGAGGCTTGGCCGCGCAGAGTATTTTACAGGACGCTAAAAAGTTAGAATGACCACTTGCTTGTGGACCTTTTCAAAATTGTGGAATGTTCCAATTTGCGTGGAAATTAGGTGTTTGAACAGTAGGTTGCCCGTGTGCATTACTAATGCTCTTAGACCATTTTTGGGAAGAGTCAAATTCGATCCCCCTGAGAATAACGTGCTTATTCACATCTTGCCTCACCTGATTTATGTGGACTGTAAAGTTGCTTTTCAAGGTGACGACGATTGTTTTGGTGAGACTCTTCCGCCTAGATTAATATCGCCTAGAGCAATATACACTAATACGCGGCTGTGGGGCGCGCTAATTATTAACGTGGAGATTACCTTAATACTAGCCAACGTTTATTTCCGCTCAAGATCGCAGACTTCGCTGATAAAATAACTTGGAAACGTATTCCGTACGAGAAAAGCTACTAAAAATAGGACACGGAGATATGAACAACTGACCTTGGCCCAAATTCCAGGGAAATTATGGTTAAAGTTTAGGTTAGGTGCCCGAGACCGGCCTAGATCTCGGTTCTCGCGTTTCATCAGTTTTGTCACCTACCGTACTTTGCCCATATTTGTAACCTTTGTCCGCTGTTTTCAGGAAATTTAATAGAAGAACCAGCATACTTTGACAATGGTTCTGCCATTTTCTTTACTTTTGCCTGCTTATTGGCCCTTTTGTGAAATATTCGAGCTGTAAGCACGCTTAAGTGGGAATACGAAACATCAACTCACAAATGTCCCTTTTACCTGGACTGGAAGAGGTCCACAGTGCAACCTAAGATTTGGGAGTGCTGCTAAACTAAGGAAGTCGAGATCGGCGTCTGCCCAAAGTTATTTTGGGTGTTCGAGACGCCATTCCATTAGCTTAAAAGACACTCCCACACAGGTGGTTTCGGGAAAAGACAGTTCAGTAAATTGACAGTTAAAGAGGGTTCCGTCCTGCCTGAGCCAGTTCGATATCTCTTGCTGAATAAGACCTAGTGACCCAGGCTTCCAATTTAACCTATTTGCCGTTCACGTACTTTTCCTATGCTGTCGGGATGATCCTGGACCATATTATTCACTGTCCTCCGGCTCTATCCTGTGCTGTAAAGCCCATTTGTCTTAAAATTGGTTTGCTTATATTTTTAGGAGGAGCGTGAGCAGTTGACTAAGAGGATCCAGAATGCAGGAACTGAAGTTGTTGAGGCCAAGGCCGGTGCTGTAAGTCATCTCTGTAGTGACTTTCTCCGAAATCGCCTTTTGACAGAACATGCCATTCTTTTACACTTCTACAGCCTTCCTGTAGACCCATGTTCTCCGGGCTAGTAAGTTTTTCCTCTGCGTAGAACCATCAACCATACCTCGACTTTCTGGACTGTCCGCTTTTACCTAGGGTTATTTCGGCCTTTCCCACCAGAATACCTAGTTTTCGAGCCATTGTGGGCTCGTATTCTATGGATTGGCGTGTTATGTGTGTAGACCGTTGTCACGACCGAATAGGTTGTAGATGTGAGCCGTGATCAACGGTCTTCAGTTTATTTGTTTGCTCATCTAGACCGCACACATTAAAAAGGTCTTGTTGATACACTAAATCCGCCTTTTTAAGGCGTATGACCGTTACTGACCTCTAACATACGAGAGGGGATGTGTGGAACTAATTTATTTACCTACTATCCCTTCGAGCCTGAACCGAGGTCCTCGCGACTGTACGATCCCTTGAAGTGCACCTTTGCAGCATTGCGGATTTATCCACATTGAAGGTCAGTCTTGTCTCGGTGGCTGTACCAGACCGACCTAGATTTTTAATTAACACCTTGGTCATTTGATGCGAGAGAGATCATAATGCCTTTTTGGAAACCAGTCCCTATAACTCCCACGCCAATCAATTGATTATCTATTATAGAATGCTTCTGGTCACGGGTCGCTCGCGAATCCATTGAACAGCGACCGACGCACTAGTGCCTGGAGCAATCACCGCCTCGACTGACCTCGCACATTCACTCACTGCATGGGCCTATTAGGACACACGCACATTCACGATAACCTGCGGTAGACAACCGTCGGCTACATCACTTATCCCCCACCAGTACTCGCATCACACAACACCCATCGCAAACATCCGATTGCCACATCCCACGCAAACGGAAAGTGTGTTTCTCGGCTCCTTCCCCATGTGGCTCTTCTGCTGCATATGTGATCTGAGCCTGAAATTATCACGGTGCACCAAGGGCTGTGGCTTGGAAGGCTGCTAACTGACGCCCTAACTCAGTTCACGCAGTCTGCCCAGTTGTGTGTGTGTGTTTGTGCGGAGTGGCGGATTGTTGGGCTGAGAGTCAAGCTGTCACGGCTCCTTAAGTGATCTGTGACTCCCATGCATGCGGAGTGTGTGTGTTCGTGTGTATGCTTTATAGGTAGTGCCTCTCAGTCGATGACTGACTGGTTACCCAGCCCTCGAAGGGTGATGGCCCAGGCTAAGTGCAGGGTTGCGTCTCACTCTTATGGGCCTTAAGGACTGTCGGCGTCTGCTATGCCATGATCAGCAAACCATGGCCCTCGCAGCCTAGTATGCACTGGCAGTTCTCTGGCACTCGGTTCCCTGCTGGTAGATGTGCTTGCTCTCCCTCTGGGTGTGCAGGCCATGAGCAGAGCTGCTCTCGTCCTTCTGACCCTTTATGGTGCTGTTGTTGGTTAAAATCCTGGTTAAGTGTCTGTTGTGGTGGTATGCCTGGGCGCGGGTTCGGCCGTGACGGCCATCTGCAGCGCAAGTCCAAACTCACTATAAAATAACTCACATGCTAACCATCGTGTCTGCTTTGCCTTGCTGTGGAGCTTTCGGTAGGCATCGTCGGGGACGACGGTCGAACTGTCTGTCCCCGAGGCCATGGTTCATCTCGTTTTTTGCACATCTTAGCGTATTGCCAAGGTCTTGGCTGACCCTCAGCCGGCCAAACCGAGCCGTTCTTTGACTCAACTGCGGCCTGCTCATCCCGTCTCTTCCAGTTCTGCAATCCTTTCTTTTAACTTCATTTTAGGGTTCTGCGACTCTTTCCATGGCTTATGCCGGCGTCCGCTTCGTAAACTCACTCCTTCAAGCCATGGGTGGCTGCAAGGGCATCGTTGAGTGCACCTTCGTGCAGTCAAACGTCAGCGAGTGTGAATTCTTCTCAACGCCTATTCTCCTCGGGGTGCGCTGCTCTTCCGATTTTATCTGTTCCTTAACTCCCGTCTTCGCTCCTATTTTTTACGCATCTGGCAGAGGACCCGTTAGTAGTTTGTCGCACATTATACTGTGTGCTGGGGCTTTGAAGTTGTGGCTTGGAAAGTTGCCAACTGGTATGATGGCTCAAAACTGACAGCCAGCTCGGAAGGGCTCTTTAAGGCAGCCTTATAAAGACACACTGGTTACATTTAATTAAGCGACGCCTGGCTCGTGTTGATTGAGGGATCAGGACGTGTGTGACACGCTAGAAAAGGAAGCTAATGCCTCATCGGCCACAACGTCCACACTCGCCTCCAGCTGTCCTAAAATCGTCTTAAAGCTGGGCGAGCTGGGTGTGGGAAGGATGAAGTCAGTGGCGTACGCATCTCCTTTAATGTAATCCAACTCACACTCAAGCCACCTCTCCACCGGGATTATGGCGGTCCTAACCGGGTCCGACGGATTAACTATTATATTTAAATTGGTAGTAGCCTCTGCGCATCTATACGACAATCACAGAATCTTCTATTCTTTCTCCAGTAGTCTCTCACTTGGCGGATAGTAGGGGCGGGTTGACTAATCTGCGGATTCCGGAGTTTATAATTTGAGTGAGGGTCCACCGCAACAGATTACTTGTGATTCCGGCGTTTCGGAGAGCTTGGTCAGTTCATCATTGTCAAGGCGTTTGACTTGCAACTCGACAACCTGAATGAATAACGTCCGAACGATATGCGACTCCGGGATTTTTTGATTGGAAGGAGCAGTTTATGAATGCCGTTTTTGAATGATTTTGTCTTAACCCTAAACAGATCGTCTCTAGCTGATAAGGTAATTTATTGGTTTGGGTTTTTTTCCTGCCTGCCATGCACAGTAACCTTACTAGCGCACACGCTCTAAAATCAAATTGGCAATCGGAGATCGCCTTCACAGGCGATACATAAGCTCCTGCCCGCACGATTTTGTTTGTCACAGTGAGGCGTGGACGCGCATATCAGTACGGCCACTCTTCAGCAAACGCAAGGAGGCATTTTAACCTAGCCCATTTCATCGAAAGGACCCGCAGTCTACTTGCGGGCACACCCGAATGACTAATTTCGCCACTTCTGTACTCTCTATACGGTCACTGAGGAGGGTTACTTTCCCAGGATGTGTAGGCTTCATCATATATTCCAGTCCCTCCTTCCTCTTTTGGCTCGGTCGTGCAGAAAGCATTGCTCACTTTTCCACTATGGTCACTTACATTCGTGTACCTCCATATTTCATAATTAGTTTTGCGTTGATTCGACTGCAGTCAGGAAGATCTCTGTCTCGTCCCTAACGGCCACGCTATCCCGACGCCTGCCATAGCTGGATTCACAGCCTTGGGTAGTCCTTGGTCCGAAAAGTAACCTCCAGTGTGATTGATTTATCTGTTACCCCCGTCTTGTCTAGCTTACCACTTGACTCAGTTTCTGGATAGAAATGCCCACACGATCTTGTCCATGTCATTAATACTTAGTCTCTTCCCAAATCTTCGAGTTGGCTTTTGATAATTTCCCCTCGACCTGCAGCCAGACTTAGAGAACCTGCCTCCTTTCGTGCTGTCGACGTAGATTTCTCACTACCAATGGCATCTGGATTGTAAAAAACGACTCGCTTAGTGGAAACTCTCCTACTTCGGAAACTAAGTATGTTGAACGTCTTTACGTCAGGCATATTCCTCTACATTTGGGCCACTAATGCTTGGATAGCAGTGTTTAATGAATACGGTTCGCAGGGCTCATCAGAATACTGACTCACCTGCCCCACGCCCCTGGTTTGCCACTTCACCAAAACGGCAATTTCCATTCTTTTTCTTTTAGCCCAATGGTGTTGAGAAGAACCTCGGAGTCGGCAAACTGAACGAGTACGAGATCTCACTCCTCAAGACTGCCGTACCTGAACTTAAGAAGAACATTGAAAAAGGAAAGAAATTTGCTGCCGAGTACAAGGAATAAACCATCGGATGGCTCTGCTCTTCGTTGTGGATTCTACCCTTCTTTATTGTCTCTCACCTCTTACATTTCCCGACTTATTCACTCGTGAACACTACATTCTTTTTTTCCCTGCTCTCAGTTTTGTTGTCTGGTCATCGTGTTTTCCAATTCCGTTATCTTCTAAAGCTCCGTTCGCATAGCATTTTTTCTTACCGTAGTCCTTCACACATACCTTTCTATATAAATACGTTTCATTATCTCATGCTTTCTGTGGCCTGTTAGCTCCATGGGTGTTGGTTTCCAGGGTTGACTTTAGTAGAAAGTAACGTGCAGCTCAATAGCCGAGCAAATATTTGCGCACTTCCCGTCGTGACATGCAAGCCTTGCATAAAGTCGTTTCTACTGGTTTTGCAGCAACTAACTTCGGTGCCAGGTGGCCCTACGAGGTCGGTCTTATCGTAGTCGAACAAGGAATTGCTCCTCTCGGCGCTCTTGGTCCCGAAAGGTCCAACAAAGCCACCGGGGACATAGCCCTCCGTTATGAAAACAAGCCTGCCTCCGGATATCTGCGTGAGGCGGCTTAGTGGAATGGATTTCTTTAGTGCCCAGATTCGACAGTAGACGTGTCCATTCACCCAACGTCACCAGTTTAGCGTTCTGGGAATGCGCCGGGCAGTGTGTATGTATTTTGAAAGGTTGCAAGCAGAGCTCTCGATTCCCCTATTTATGTACGATAATTTCGCGCACTAACACTGAATGAGATTTCAGACATTTGAATGTGGTCGCTTTACTGTGACAGCACGGAAATATTCCGGAACACGAGGTGTTTTACAAAGCTGGCGGTGAGTGGTCATGTTGTGAAAGACGGTCTTCAATAATTTCGCGGTCAGGTTTTTAAGCATAAAAGTGCTGTCGG